ATTCCGGGATGTTCCAGATCTTGATTGTGCAGTCCTGGCTGCTGGTTACTACAAAGCTTTCCTTCATTCTGAGAGGAACAAAAACATCGAGGAGGCAAATCAGTGGCTTCCCCTGCACAGGAGAAAAGGCCCTTCCCCTCCCTGAGCAGGAGGACACAAAGGGACAGCCTGCCCCGGTCTGTGTTACCTGGAGCAGGCGACAGCGCCCACGCCGTGGGCATGGCCCAGCCCCTGTGCCACACAGACCACCCTGCCAGCCTTGCCCATCCTCCAGACACGGATGCTCCTGTCCTGTGGGGGAGAGCACAGAAACTGCTTGATTTTCTGACAAGAGATCAGCCCCCTGGGCTTTCACCACATCCCCAGCCTGACTGGTCCTGAATTTTGCAGCTTGAACCTTTGCCTGCCTTTGTCAGAGCAGGTGAGGACACACAGCCAGACAGGACAAAGCTCCAGCCTGGGGTTCCAGAGTGGAGATTTATTGTGGGGTCTATCAGAGGTTTATTTTTGGGTGTATCAGGGCAGTTGGCACTTTTTCTTCCCACCCAGAAGCTCCCATCAGTCCCACACTAACAACTTCTCTAATTCCAGACCCAGATGCCTGGAGAAGGAACCATCTCCTTCAGGCTAATAAATACAACTGATTTCCCAGGGACAACATTAAAAAGGGACAGTGAAGAACCTTATCTTTGGGGGATGCAGCAGACAGGAATTGTATGAATAAAAGGCCCTTTCTGGAGTGCTAAAAGTGGTACAATTTTGCCCATAAAGATCAGTAAAGTGAAGAGCTGCATTAAATGAAGAGCAGTGACACACCTTGGCACAGGTGACGAACATCAGGCCTTTTCTGAAGACATCCAAAGCCATAATTGTTTCTAAAGAGAAGGAGACAAAACAGGTGGATGCACAGAAATACTGAAATGGGACAACAGGAATGTGTGAGTTAATGAACCCACTGTCCTGGGGACAGGTCTGGGACACTGGGACAGGGCATTCACAGTCCCTGTGGAGCGAGTGGCACTCACACCCCTTCAGCTCCAAATTAAACTGATGTCACTGCCAGTGACAGGGACAATGGGATATATCCTTTCTCCACACAACTCCCAAACCTGTTGTGATGCTGCTCAAGGGTTCCAGCCTCCACAGGAGCTCCAAGAGAAGCTGGACAAGGGAACCCCTGCCCCTCTCCCAGCCGGGTCAGCGCTGGCACTCACCTGTGTGGCCGTAGAGGATCTGGCAGTGGGATGTTGCCAACTCAAACACTTTCAGCTGGGGGCTGTTGGTGGCCACAACAATGTGAGAGTCACCAGGGCCCAGGAACTTCACATCCAGAACCTCCTCGTTGTACCCAGCGAGCTGGAATGGGAAGAGTTCAGCAGGGAAAAGCTGCAGTGCTGTGATCTCGCATTTGACGCTGGGTGTAAGGATCTCTTTTACACATAAGCTGGAGCACAGGAGGGATTTCTGCCTGGGCCTGTTCTGCTTCCTGGTTCTTATGTTGGTCTCTGTGCAAAATTCCCCCCAAGCAGCCCCACCAATGAAATTTCTGGTTTAGCACCAAGGAACAATTCCAGAACAGGCCGGAGACAAGGGACAGAGCTTTTAGCAGGAGCAGAGCTGATCCCAAACCGTGGATAAAGGCAAAAGAAGGCTGGGGCTGTCACCTGCTTGCGGAGCTGGAGGGTCTGTGCCTCGTAGAACATGATGTTGTGCTCCAGGGACACGGTGAGGAGCTCTCCCCGCGCGGGCACCCACAGGCACTGGCACAGGCTGCGCTCGCTCGGCTCCTCCCGCGGCGCGAAGGGCACGGGCTGGCTGTACACACAGCCTGCACTGGCCACCTCCCACACCCTCAGGATGCCTGCAACAGCCACGGGATACGTCCTCTGTCACAGCCAGCCTCACACAGTGACTGCCCAAGGGGTGTTATCCGAACCCTGGCACTGCCCACGGGAAAAGCTGCGCAGCTCCAGGGCAGGACCGGGCAGAGATCTGACTCCAGTGGCATGAGAAGCCACAGGGCTTCTGCAGTCTAAATCAAACTTCATTGCAGTTTGGGAATTATTTATATCTATTTATGGGTTTTAAAGTATATTTTTATGTAGATAAATGTATCTGAGTATTAAATGTTTCAGAGCACATCTGACCCATCCTGCTCATCCCCAGCTGCCCGAGGAACCTGGGAGCAGGCTCTGCTCTCCAGCCTAAGCTTCTGCCATGCAAAGAACTCCCACCCCAGCAATCACAGCCCCCAAAAGTGGCAGTGGCACTGCCTCACCTTTGCTGCCAGCTGTGACAAAGTGCAGCCCTTGTTTCTTCACACCCAGCTGAGAGAAATCCCCCTTCTCGGGCAACAACACGGCGGCTTCCACGGTCTGCAAGAGTCAGAGAGTCACAGAGCCAGGGCTCATCCCATAACACACAGAACCTGAAGAGGGAGAGCTACTGTGGGACCATGACCTGGAAACTACAAAAGGATCCCAAAGGAATAAGTGAACCCCAGTTTCACCTCGTAGACGGGGACGGTTCGTTTGCTCTCCCTGCTCTCCAGGTCCCACACCATGCAGATTTTATCACGGCCAGAGCTGCAAAGGAAAAGGTGTTTCAGTGCCAAATCCATGTGCAAACCTGGCACTGTGGGAGTTCAACACCTCTCTGGAGAGGTAATAGGAAAGAACATCAGCATTCCCTGTGCCAGCAGAGTGTAATGCCAGAAACACAGACCAGGCTGGATGGGGCTTGGAGCAACCTGGGCTAGTGGCAGGTGTCCCTGCCCATGGCAGGGTGTGGGACTGGATGGGTTTTAAGGTCACTTCCAACCCAAACCATTCCAGGATTCTGTTCTACAGGTGCCAAGACCCTCTGGAATCACCCAGCCCTGGCAGGAGGTGAACAGGACAGAGGTCAAACCCCTGTACCCAGGTGGTACCTCAGGAGGGTGTTTCCATCTGCAAATGCCAGCGAGGTGACAGCACTGAAGTGCCCATCCAGCACAGCCACACATTTGCTGGAATTCAGGTCCCAGATGCGGATTTTGTAGTCCATGGAGGAGGAGAAGAGCTGCAGGCGGGAGATGTCCGGGTGGAACTCGACCAGGCTGGGCAGGGGGAGAGGAACAGGACAGGAATGAACCACCTGCAGTGCTGGCCTTGGCCCAGCACCTAAATAAGGACACATTTACACAGGTCAACAGGCCAGGCTCGATGGGCTTGGAGCAACCTGGAATAGTGGAAAGTGTCCCTGCCCACAGCAGGGAGTGGAATAAGATGAGTTTTAAGGTCCCTTCCAACCCAGACCATTTCAGGATTCCACGAGAGATCAATTGACACAGATTTATAAGAGACTTTCTTTGTAGGGTCTCATTCCTCTGCCACCCACCAGAAGACTTTACTGTTTGTCTTTGCCAGTGTTCCCGTGCTCTTGGAGCACACCAGCCAGCAAGCACAGGGATTCCATTTGGATCCCAACCAATCTGAGGACACTGGTTAGTGGTGAACATGGTGCTGCTGGTTCATGGTTGGACTCAGTGATCTGAAAGGCCTTTTCCAACCTGAACAATCCTCTGATTGTATGAAAACTCTTGACAAATTGGGCTAGAGACAGTCATAGCCCTGTTCCCAAAAACCAGGAAGAAGAGCCCAGAACCTGCTTGGAATGGGCCTTCCTATTCCATTAACTCGAGATATTCCAGGTCAGTCCCAGCACCCCACAAATGGCAGGGACTGACAAACACAACTCCTCCTTACTGTACCACTCCAGAGGATCCTTTCAGGTTGTGTGTGCAGTAGTGTTTGACCATATCCCAGACCTTAATGGTGCTGTCACAGCCACCTGGGGAAAGAAGGACACAGGGAATGAACCACGGAAGAGAGGGAGGCAGTAGTCCAACACATCTGCAAAACTTCAGGGGTAGCAAAGGCACAAGAAAGGAAAATGAACCCAGTAAGAACAACCCACGGCAAGAGAAGCCCCTGGAGCACCTCACACTCAGTCAGACCGTGGAACAGGGAGGTTACAGGTCATGCCTGACCCTGTGCTGTGCCCTCGCTCCGGTCGCTGTGTCCAGCTGAGGGAGGTTATTCCAGAGCCGAAGGGCCCCCCAGAATCCCCCCAGTGCCCCGTACCTGTGGCCAGCAGGGTGGCTGTGGAGTCACAGGCCATGGTGGCCACGGGCAGGGGGTGCAGGGCCCGCCAGGCGCGGGCACAGCGCGGCTCCCGCCAGTGCCACTGCCGCAGGAGCAGCGCCCGGGAGCTCGTCAGCAGCACCTGGAATGGGCACAGGGACACGGTCAGGCTGGGATTGGGGCTGGATCTGTGCCAGGGCACACACACCGGGCACAGGGACATGGTCAGGGATGGATTGGGTTGGAAATCGTGCCAGGGCCCACACACAGGGCACAGACGGGGCAGGTGCCACAGCTCAGACTCCTGGCACATCCCAGTCACACCCAGGAGGGGACACAAGGAAGGGTGTGAGGAGCCTCCGTGGGGATCTCTGGAAGCACAGAGATCATGGAATAGAATCAGGGAATCTCCTGTGCTGGAAAGGACCCACAGGGATCATCGAGGCCAATCCCGGGCACAGGGCTCCCCAAAATCCTCCCACATTCCTGGAGTATTGTCCCAACACCCCCTGCAGCAGCCCAGCCCAGCCCCCTGATCCACCCAAAATAAACCTCTGATCCAAACCCACCTCGTCATCGGGGCTGAGCACAAAGGCAGTGACATCCTCCTCCTCCTCCTAGGAAGTGAAATCCCACAGTTAAACCATCCCCGGATCTCAGAGCTCCCTTCTGACACCGAGCACAGCTTGGGGACAACCCCAAACCCACCCGCCTGTGTTCGGGACCGTTCCCACCCTCCTCATTCCCGGGAGCGTCACATCCACAGTGGGAAAACCCCTCCCGGGAGCGGCCGTGCCCCTCACCTGCTGCAGGCTGTGCAGGAGCGCTCCCGTTTCCACATCGAGCACGTTCACTTTGCTCCCGCAGGGGCAGAACATGAACTTCCCATCACGGCTTATCTGGGCAAGAGGGGGTGAGAAGCAGGAACGTTACAGAGCCGGGAGACGCGGCACTCCCAAACCCTCCAGAGCTGGGATTACCTGGATTCGCCCTCCCTTGTAGAACGGCTCGATCTTCCGCGACACGGTGTAGCTGGAAGGGAAAGAGACGGGAACGGAGCGGCC